AGTCATTGCAGGCCCTGATCCCAAATCCCTCTCCAGCTCTCCTGGAGCCCCTGCAGGCTCTGGAAGGGGCTCCAAGCTCTCCCTGGATCCTTCCCTTCTCCAGCCTGGCCATTCCCAGCTCTCCCAGCCTGGAGCCAGAGCCTGACATTGGATCCATCCCCAGCCCAACTCCTCTCTGGGAAGGAGTTCTGGGAACAAGGGGGGGTTCCCTGGGAATCTCGGCACTCAGGGAAGGGGCTCCCTTCCCCTTTGCTCCCTTTTCCATCCCCACATTCCATAAAAACCCCACAGGATCTCATTCCTGTGCCGAAAGGGATGAATCCCTTAGAGTTGAACCGGTGCTTGTTCCGACCTTTCTGTTTTTGCAGAACTTTTCACCTTGTTTTCCCCCCCGTCGTTTCTCCCATTTACAGGGATTTGGGATGTTGCTGATGGAGGAGGCGGAGAGGATCGCCAGGGAGGAGCACGGGTCATGGAAAATTGCTGTCATTTCAGGTACCTTTATCCCTTTTTTTATATATATCTATATATATTTATATCTATCTTAATCTGAAAATAAACCCACTGCAACCACCCCGCTGGGAACGTTCCTGGTGTGAGGCAGAAAATAAGGATCAGGTTATCAGGGAGCCAAATTCCACTGTGGATTTATCCAGACAACCCCATTGCTGTGAGAGGACACTCCCCAGGGATCCATCCCTCAAGGACAGGGATTTGTGTGACATAGAGGGGGGGATTTCCATCCCCCAGATCCCATTCCCGGCCTCAGGTTATCCCACTAATCCCTGAGGGTGTCATCCAGGTGTTCCTTGAGCTCTGGGAAGTTTGGGAAGTGCCCCATTCCCTGGGGGTGGTAAATAATGCACATTATAATCTCATTTTAATATTATGATGTAGATGATATTGCTGAGGAAACAGGGATTGCAAGGGGAGAGAGCCCCTTGCTGGCATAAAATCAATGTATGGGGGGGATGGATTTAACAGAAGAACTTCCAGAATAATTTCCAACAACTCTTACTGAAAGCACGTTCCTCACACGGGAGGTTTTTTTAATTCCTTGCCTGTTTTTCACCCCCTTTTGTCCCTGTATTGCCTATCTTGGGATGTAAAACCACGCTTTAATCTGCATTTCCCTTCATCTGCATGGAGGTAAAGGCCTTTTTTTAAAAAAAATAATCGTTTACACCAAAAAAAAACACCAAAACCTAAAAATGAAAAGATCCACAGCTTTGATCTAAGCTGCTCGACAGCTCTGGAATCCCAACTCCCCGCTCTGGAATGTCCCTCTGGATGTTGGAAAGCCAAAGTGGATCCTCTCCAAGTCCTTGGGAGCGGGGAAAAGGTGCAGCCAAAGGAGCCAGAGGTGGTTTTATATTCCCTGGATTCCCCTGGATTTCTCTGGGCTGGGCTGGAATTCCCAGGGAAGCCGTGGCTGCCCCTGGATTCCCTGGAAGTGGCCAAGGCCAGGGTTGTTGGAGCGACCTGGGATAGTGGGAGGTGTCAGGGGTGGAACTGGATGAGCTTTAAAATGCCCCTTCCCACCCAAACCGTTCCTGTTTTCCTGCGTGGGGTCAGTTTGATCCGGGAATTCCGGCTGTTTCCGTGGAGATGCCGAACTGCAGCTCTCCCATCTGCAGTGAAAAGGCAGCCAGGAGTTCTGTCTCCATTGGAGGGAGAGATTTTGGATTCTGAAGGGTAGGATTTTTTAAAAATCTGGGAACCCAGTGGAAAGTTGCGTCTCCAGCGCTTTGCAAAGCGATCCCTTCAAGGAGAAACACGTGGAATTTTAGGACAGAGGAGAAGGTGAAGGGGTTTTTTGGGGTTGATTGAAGGGGAGGGATCATCTCTGAGAGCGGGTCAAGGTTGGAAGGGACGGGTCAGGCTTGGGAATGAGCAGGTGAGGGTTGGGAATGAGCAGGACAGGGTTGGGAATGAGCAGGTCAGGGTTGGGAATGAGCAGGCTGAGGCTGGGGAAGGGACTGGAGCACAATTGCCATGAGGAGAGGCTGAGGGAGCTGGGAGGGCTCAGCCTGGAGAGGAGGAGGCGGCTTAGGGGAAACCTCATCCCTCAGGTGGGATATGGGGAAGGGATTCTTTCCCTGGAGAGTGCTCAGCCCTTGGGATGGGCTGCCCAGGGAGGGGGTGGATTCCCCGTCCCTGGAGGTGTTTCAGGACAGGCTGGATCCATCAGTGCCATGGGCTGGGAACCACGGCGGGCTCGGAGCGAGGGTTGGGCTCGATGATCCCAGAGCTCTTTTCCAACCCAGCTGATTCCATGATTCCATTATTCCATGATTCCATGATCTCCCAGCCTGCTGGTGCTGCTGGATCACGGGTGGAAGGAATCTCAGCTCCTCCCACCTTTGCCCTTCGCGGGCAGGGGAGAGAAAAAAAGGAGGTTTGGGGGAGGGAGGGGGTTTAACTGGAGGTAAAATCAGATCCATCCCAAGGCCTTCAATCCACCTGGAATGGGGAATATCCAGGGGGAAGAGAGGCTGAGCTGGCCCATAAATCAGAGGGGCACATTTGATGGCGCTTAAGTAGCCTCATTTCCTCCTGTAAACAGCCCTCTGGCCACCCTGGAAGTGATGAATTACCCAATCCACGGGATGTTGATTCATGGGATACTCGGGATTGATGGGATCTGGGGGAAGGCTCCCTGGAGTTTTTTTGCTTCCAGCCCTGGCTTGGTTATTTTTAGCCCTTCTGGGTCGCTGTCAATAAAAAAAGAAGTGGCCCTGGATGAGTGGAAATGCGGGAATGGCGACGAATCGACTCTCCGGTGGTTTTGTCTGGCTTGGATTGATGTGGGAGGGGGGAAAAAAAAAATAAAATTAATTAGGGGGATTTGGAGGAAGCCAAGGATAAACTTGGGGTAGGGGGTGTGAAATCCTCCAGTTCTTAATGAACTGCGATTTTTGGAGGGTTGAGACTGAATTAAGTGGGATTTTGGGGGCAGGCACGAGCAGGAATTTTGGCTGCCCTTAAAGCAAGGACAGTCCTGCACAAGTATTTTGGAGGGGTGTCCTGGTGGGAAGCTTTTATATATCTATAAATGTTATATTTATAGATATCTATATCATGGAATCATAGGATCAGCCAGGTTGGAAAAGAGTTTTGAGATCATCAAGTCCAATATATAAAAAAATTTTTTTATATATTATATATATATTACATATATATTATTTTTATATATTATATATTATATATTATATATTATATATTATATATTATAATATATATTATATAGTATAGTATAGTATATAATTGTATTTATTTAATATATATATATTTATATAAATATATTTATTGATATCGAGGCAAACCCTGCACAGAATCTGGACTGAGCGGGAGTTGGATGTTTGGGGAACCCTTCCTGCCTCTTCCTCCCTCGACATACCCTTGAATTTATAAAACCCAACCAACAACAACAACAAAAAAAACACAGAGAACAAAAAAAAAAACAGACAAAAAAATTTCCGAAGTTCCATCCTGTAGGAATAATTTATAATTATTTCATAACCATTATTTTACGAGCCGGAGCTCGTGTTGGTCCCATCCCCGTCGTGTCCCTGCCCCGCAGGTGTTTCCATCCCGGAATTTTCCATCCAGGAATTACTCCTGGCTTTTAAGGCAGCTTTATCTCCAGAGGGCTTTTTGTCCAATCTCTCCAGGCTGGTGGAAGGGGATGATTAAAATGCTGCTCCTTGCTGCTGCTCCCTGAAATTTGGGAAGCTCCTCCTCACCTGGGATCTCCCTCCTGGATCGGGGATGTGGCGAGGGGGAGGAAATTTTCCTTTCAGAAGCACATCCCGAACAGGATTTCAGGAGTGAATTCCAGCAGTCCCTGGGCTTTTTCAGAGCACATTAATTTTCTAGAAGGGGGAAAAAAAATGAGAGAGTTTCCCAGCAGAGTCTTTTCCAAAGGGTTTTGTTGTCCCTGCTGCTCTGGGAGTGAACAGGTTCGAGCTGAACTCGTGTCACAGGTCCCTGCTCCGAAGGTTATTTAGTGCAGGGAGGGAAAAAGGGGGGAAAGATGCAGCTGGATTTAATAAGGATTGAGCGTGGCAGTGCCTGAAATCACGGAAATCACTCCCAAACAAAGGGAAAAGGATGAGTTGCAGGCCCCCCCAAAGGAGTCGTGGCGGGCAATGGTGCGGGGAATGATGGCCGGAGCAGCTGCCTCCTCCCGGTGTTCCTGGTTAAATATCCCTTCATCTGGAGAGGAGCAGGGGGGGAAAACTGCCTGGAATGGGCCCTGGAGTCGGGGACAAACGGATTGGGAGCGTGGTTGTTAAGGGAGGATGAGCGGTGGCAGCCAGGAGGGGAAGGGAGTTTGGATTAAAGGGAAAATCAGGCCGGGAAAGGATGGGATGGGAAAAGGTGGGATGGGAAGGGATGTCAGCCAGAGATAGCTGGTTCCATAATGTGGGGGATGCCTCTGAGGTGGATTTAAAGCTTGGATTGTGCTGTCCTGGGTTATGTGGGGTCCCAAAAATGCAACCTCATCCTGAATCAACCTTTGACTAAACCCAGGATGAAACATTCCCAGGAAGGTTTGACTGATAAAATATTCCAGTTGAGGTTTGATTAAATCAACCAGGATGGAATAGTCCCAGCAGGGTTTAACTGAACCAAGCAGGATTAAACATTCCCAGGAAGGTTTGACTAAACCCAGCAGGATGAAACATTCCCAGGAAGGTTTGACTGAACCAGCCAGGATTAAATAGTCCCAGGATGATTTGGCTGAACCAACCAGGATAAAATATTCCTGTTGAGGTTCAATTAAATCAACCAGGATGGAATAGTCCCAGCAGGGTTTAACTGAACCAAGAAGGATGAAACATTCCCAGCAAGGTTTAACTAACCAGACAAGATTAAATAGTTCCAGTAAGGTCTAAACTGAACCAAGCAGGATGAAACATTCCCAGGAAGGTTTGACTAAACCAACTAGGGTAAAACATTCCCAGGAAGATTTGACTAAACCAGCCAGGATTAAATAGTCCCAGGAAGGTTTAAACTGAACCCAACAGGATGAAACATTCCCAGGAAGGTTTGACTGATAAAATATTCCTGTTGAGGTTCGATTAAATCAACCAGGATGGAATAGTCCCAGCAGGGTTTAACTGAACCAACCAGGATGAAACATTCCCAGCAAGGTTTGACTGAACCCAGCAGGATGAAACATTCCCAGGAAGGTTTAAATGAACCAGCCAGGATTAAATAGTCCCAGGATGATTTGGCTGAACCAACCAGGATAAAATATTCCAGTTGAGGTTTGATTAAATCAGCCAGGATGGAATAGTCCCAGCAGGGTTTAACTGAGCCAAGAAGGATGAAACATTCCCAGGAAGGTTTGACTAAACCCAGCAGGATGAAACATTCCCAGGAAGGTTTGACTGAACCAGCCAGGATGAAACATTCCCAGGAAGGTTTAACTAAACCAGACAAGATTAAATAGTTCCAGTAAGGTCTAAACTGAACCAAGCAGGATG